TCTGCGTGTGTGTGTTTGTGTGTGTGCAGGGAGGGCTCTGCGTGTGTGTGTTTGTGTGTGTGCAGGGAGGGCTCTGCGTGTGTGTGTTTGTGTGTGTGCAGGGAGGGCTCTGCGTGTGTGTGTTTGTGTGTGTGCAGGGAGGGCTCTGCGTGTGTGTGTTTGTGTGTGTGTGCAGGGAGGGCTCTGCGTGTGTGTGTTTGTGTGTGTGTGCAGGGAGGGCTCTGCGTGTGTGTGTTTGTGTGTGTGTGCAGGGAGGGCTCTGCGTGTGTGTGTTTGTGTGTGTGTGCAGGGAGGGCTCTGCGTGTGTGTGTGTGTTTGTGTGTGCAGGGAGGGCTCTGCGTGTGTGTGTTTGTGTGTGTGCAGGGAGGGCTCTGCGTGTGTGTGTTTGTGTGTGCAGGGAGGGCTCTGCGTGTGTGTGTTTGTGTGTGCAGGGAGGGCTCTGCGCGGCACTTTCCGTTCGGTTTTGTGAGGAACCGGCGGGCACACCGTGCTGGCAGGCTGTGTGCACTGGAGTGTGCGCCTGGGGAGCAGAGCTTGGCCTCCCAGAGGCTGCTGTAATGTCACCCTGTCCTTTCTGTGCCCTTTTTCTCCAGGAGCTGTGACACACCATGGCACAAGGACTTGCCTCCCCGGGGATGTTCTCTGATGATGATGTTGCAGCCTCCCCTGTTTTTGAATCCACAGCGACAGGGTTTGGGGCTGATGTGTGCAGGGACCTGCTGTCTGAGTTCTCTGCCATCTCTCCAAATCTGGAGGGCTCCCAGCAGGTGAGGTTGGAGTTCTGTCACAAACAGGGTAATACTTTGAGTGGTTGCCACTGTCTCTCTGCACAAAGGTGTTGTGAGGCAGGGCTAACAGAGACTCTTCATCTGAGGCTGTAACAAAATGTTGAGAAGTTCCAGTTATGAGCAGACTGCAGTCAAGGGAACAGTCAGTAAGTGCCCTTTAACACAATGCCTTTTAATGTGGCACTTGGACTTGTGTCAGGTGTTCAGGTTGTTGGTCTGTTTCACTAGTAAGAAAAGAAATGCTGGTGTGGCTGGAGATACCTAGGAAAGCTTCAGGTATTGCCAGGGTTTTTAGGATGAGAAGAATGTTCATTAGTTACTGAGCACTAGTTGGGGTAGCCACACGTGTTTCACATTATGGTTCCTGCTGGTGCTCTGACAAATGGTTGTGTACTGCCTCTCTGGCTGCCATATTTAACCTGTCCTGATTTTGCAGGCTGTGTCTGAAGACAATAATGGAAAATTAAAAGTGTATCTGAGAGTTCGACCTCTGAAATCTACAGAAGTGGAAAAAGGGGAAGACCAGGTGAGCCACTGACTGAAGCAGTCTCTGAGCTGGGTGCCTTTGTGCTGTCACCCTTTGCTGTCCCTGTGATGGTCTCTTGACAGTGTTGTGATGATGGGGTTTTTATGTGCTCTTTAGGGCTGTGTCTGCATTGAGAATTCAGAGACCCTGCTTCTGAAAGCCCCTAAGGATTCCTTCACCATGCGGAGCACAGAGCGTGGAGTGGGACAAGCAGCACACAGGTTCTTTTTCACTCAGGTAGGTAACTGGGACGAACAATCCATCTGGAAGCTTTCTGAGCTTAAACCAACCTTGCAGTTTGAAAAGCTGCCCTACTGACACACTGATTACAAGGCACTGCCCAAACTATAGCCTTGTCAAATTCTCTCTGAGTTTGCTTCTGCTGCCTTTTCCCTAGTTTTTATATCTTAAGCTGATCCTGGCAACTTTTTTGGCAGCAAATGCCAAACTTGTTCATGAGGCTATAAGCACAGTAAAGGCTGTAGATAAGCAACTGAACAGATAGGAAAAATCTACATGAGGCCATTTTTCATGTGTTTTGTTTGCAGATCTTTGGACCAGAAGTGGGGCAGAAACTGTTCTTCGACGAGACAATGAAGCAGGTGGTGAAGGATGTACTGAATGGGCAGAACTGGCTGGTCTACACCTATGGCATCACCAACTCAGGGAAGACTCACACCATTCAGGGTAAGGAAAAGTGCTACGTGTCCGTAGCCTGTTGAAGGAGTTGTCTGCTTCTACATGGGAATCCTCAGCTTGCTGCTGCTGTTCTTGCTTTAGGCAGCAACAAAGACGGGGGGATTCTGCCTCGCTCCTTAGCAGTCATCTTCAACAGCGTGGGGGACCGGCTGTACCAGGCCATGGACCTGAAGCCTTCCCTCTCCAGTGAGGTGATCTGGCTGGACAGCAGGCAGGTGCGACAGGAGGAGACCAAGAAGCAGACCATGCTGAGGGGTGGTCTGTGGGAGGTAAGCATGTGCTTTCCAGGAGGTTCCATGGTCACAGAGAAAGGATGGTATTGTACTAGGTACATGCCCATGTTGTTTGTTTCCTTCCAGGATGAGCTATTAGTGCCACTGAAGAGGAGTCATAGTGCTGAATCCCAGCTCCAGGCCACCACCAGTGGCAGTTTTGACAGTGGAGTTGCTGGGCTCTCCTCATCTAGCCAACTCACCAACCATTCTGACATCAGCCAGACAGAAGGTATGTCTGGAGTCCCATTGTGTACTACCTGCTTCTTGTTTTTGGAGGATGGGGAAAGAAAGGGTGATGGCTGCTTGGATGTTGTGGGTCAGGGAGCAAAGGTGCTGTAATCTCACAGGTTTTTCCCTTTGAAAGTTAAGGATGTTTGGGCTGGAGAACTTGGTACCTGTGTCTTGCCAACATATCAAGAACTGAGCACTGCACAACAACCAAGCCTTGTGAAATGAAAACTGCAGGGATATGGTTACTAAGCACCTGAGTGCCATGCAATGAGCATGGTTGGAAAGCAGGGTGCTAATGTGCTGTGTTGCACTGAGCACTTGTGTCCAGACTTTGAAACCTGGGAGCAATTAGCCAGTCAGGTATCCAGAAGCTCAGAGTGATTAAGGTAATAAGGACCTTAATCACTTATACTGGGAAAAGTTCCTGCCTGAAATAGCCTATTCTTCTGGAGATGAGATCAAGTGTATCAAGTCCCTGTAGAGAAAGGAGGATTCTGTTAAAGGAAACTTTAGCCTGTCCCAGTGGGGACAGGCATTAGCGCAGGTACAAATGGGAGGAGGCATTTAGAATAAATAGGATAGTGCTTTTGCTGAAGAGAGATAATCCCACTGGGGAGCTAAACCATTCACGTTGGACCTGTGAAAAGCTGCAATCCTGATCTTTATTTATTATTATTCCCCTTTTCCCTAGAACTGGGCCCTCGCTGGGCTGACTTGGATCGCATTTCACTCACCGAGGCAGAGGACATGCAGTTTTCCATCTGGGTCTCCTTCTTTGAGATTTACAATGAGTTCATCTATGACTTGCTAGAACCAGCTCAGGCTGGGCAGAGCCGCAAGCGGCAGACGCTGCGGCTCTGTGAGGACCAGACTGGCAACCCCTATGTGAAAGGTAGATTAACCTGGAAGACATGGCCTGCTAAGGAGACTTGTTGACTGGGTGGGTGGCTTAGCAGTGATGTGTTGGGAAGCACCATGTCTCCCCTGGCCTCTCAGAGGTCTCAGATCTCTGGATTACAGGCGTGTTAAGTTTGTTAATGCCAAATAAATGCAATGGTGAAGTTGGGGCTGTGATTCTTCCAGTGTCCTAACTGCCTTACCCAATGTGTGCCTGCTTTTCCAGATCTGAACTGGATCAATGTCCAGGATGCGGATGAGGCCTGGAAGCTGCTGAAACTGGGTCGGAAAAACCAGAGTTTTGCCAGCACCCACATGAACCAGAACTCCAGTCGCAGGTCTGAAGGGGAAGGCTTTTTTTTTAAGGCAGACACACAATTTAGAGGGGCTTTTAAAAGTTGTTTCCCTTTTAAAATATCTGCGTATTTCTTTGCAGTCACAGTGTCTTCTCCATTCGGATTCTGCACCTACAAAGAGGTGCCAGTGAAGTTGTTCCAAAAATCAGCGAGTAAGTTTCATGTTTTCTAGTGTTTGGAGGTTTTCTCTGTGGACTCAACTTTGTCTCTTTCATTGTGGATCTGGGATCTGGGAAGTACCCAGAGGAAGGTCTTATTGAAAGTATTTGGAAGGAGTAAATGTTTCCCCTCTTAAGCCTTGGAACTGACTGGGGAGTTTGTGAGGAGTACTGCAAAGTTCACCTTGAGGTAGTTCTCTGGCTTTTTGAATGAGAGTAAGTGTGAGTAACCCTGTCTGTGCAGTAGGGCTGATCTGAGTCCTGTTGCTGCCTGTTCCTGGGATGTAGTTATCTGGAAATGGCTTGGGAAGTGGCTGTCCTGAGGACTGGTAAAGAATCTTTGAACTTGACACCACTAAGCTGGTGTTGGTGTTAGCTCGGTAGCCCCTATGCTTGGGGTAGGCCTTTCTGTCCAGCAGGAGCCCATACACCCCAGAGGAGCTTTCTGTGCCCTTATGGGGATGCAGGGGAGGTGAGCAGGGTGTCTGAACTGTAGAACCTGGCAAGAACAGGACAAACCTAGCGGGTTGTGTCGATGTCACCTGTGTTTCCTTCAGGCTGTCCCTGTGTGACCTTGCGGGGTCAGAGCGCTGCAAGGACCAGAAGAGCGGGGACCGAATGAAGGAAGCCAACAACATCAACACCTCCCTGCACACCCTGGGCCGCTGCATTGCTGCCCTGCGCCAGAACCAGCAGACCAAGTCAGTGTCCAGAACTGCACAGGGAGCACGTGGGCAGGCTGTCCTGCTTTCCCCTTGGGCTCACTCTTGCCTCTCCCCACAGATTGAAGCAGACTGTGGTTCCCTTCCGGGACAGCAAGTTAACCCGCGTTTTCCAGGGTTTCTTCACTGGACGTGGGCGCTCTTGCATGATTGTCAACATCAACCAGTGTGCATCTACATATGATGAAACTCTGCATGTAGCCAAGTTCTCAGCCATTGCCAGCCAAGTAAGTGGCACACACCAGGATCATGCCATGCATCCTGCTTCTGTGGGAATGGGCCCCTTTCCATCCCAAGGCAGGGGAATGCTTGTGTGTCTTCTCTATGTTTTTCCAGTGGATTATTATCCTTACAGTATTTCCAGATTCTGCTAAACTGAGAGGGTTGACAGAAGTGCCATGTTTAAAGACTACCCAACTTCTGGGCTTTATGGACTAGTAATGATGGTCTTTTCCCCTTCAGCTTGTTCAGGCACCTCCCACAAAGCTGGCACTTCCAACCATACACTCCATCATCAAAGAGCACAACAGGCGAACCAGTCAGGGTCTAGAGGCAGCAGCAAAGGAAGAAGTAGAATCAGAAGACAGTGAGGATGAAGCAGATGTCTCCATGTATGAGAAGGAGGTGGGTTGTGATTTGTTTTATAGCCTTTATGGATGGAGGGCTGAGAACAGAACTCTTAGCTTTGGCTTGGAAGGTGTGGCTGGAGTTTGGCTCTACCAAGAAGTGACAGAGAACCTCAGAATGATATGGGACCCAGGAAATTTGGAATCTGTGAGGAAAACATTCCACAGTTGGTCTAAATCTGAAGCACACACTTAATGTGGATACACTTTGTCATCTGTGGAATAGGGACAGTAAGAGCTTTGGTGCAGGCCTATAACCTCTACTCTAGAAGGGAAATCCACCTGGACAGCAGTGTTGTTTAAGCCATCTCATGGAAGGGGAACTCTTAAGTAAAACTGGCAACCCCTTTCTCAGCAACTAAAAGAATCTTATACCTAGATCACCCCAGCCTACAGGTAGGAGATCCTCTAGTTTATCCCAGGTCTCAGTCCTGCTGTGTAGTGTGGGCAGTGACAATTGTGTCCTTGCAGGATTTGCTGCGTGTCGTGGAAGCTGCTCGAGAGCTGCTGGTGCAAGAGCGGCAGGAGAAACTGCAGCTAGAAGTGCGCCTCCGTGAGGAGATCTGCAATGAGATGCTGAAGCACATGCAACAGAAGGAGCAGTGGTGCAGGTACAGCTTGTTCTGACCTCCCTCCCTTGGATAGGTGTAAACTACCAAGAACTGCCAGACCTTGATGTGTAGTTGTTGGCTCTCTTTGTAGCCAACATGCGGATGCTCAGAAGGAGATGCTGGAAGAACTGTATGAGGATAAACTCAATAACCTGAAGGAGTTACTGACTGACTATTACCAGGAGGAGATCCAGGTTTGTTCAGGGCAATTAAATGACATCAGGAAAGTGTCAATGGCCTGGGAGGGTACCTGAGTCCAGGAAGGTGACTTATGCAAAATTAAAGGGAAGATTTTGCTTTTTCTGGTATTTTTTTGTGATATTGTGTTCAGCTTGATAGCTTGATCCACAATTCTAGCTTCCTGTCTACTGCTTTATGTAGTTCACGAGGCTTTCTAATGTTCAGTCCTTAATCTGCAAGCTAATGTGCAACTGTTCTGACTCCTCTCTTTGTTCAGCACTATCCTCTCCCTCCCTCCTTTTGCTGGTGGCTTGCTTTGCACTCTTCAGATTAACACAAGTTCTGTGGATTTCTCTTATTACTCTTAGTTGTGATGATGGGTCTTGGTCTGTCTGTATTTCTCATGCTATGGCATTTGAGTGGCTTCTGGGACTTGTGGCAGACCTCTCTGAAGATGCAAACTCAACAAATCCCTTGTCTTTTAGAGGCTGTAAAAAACGTGTTTTATCCCAGGAAATGGGTTCACTGTTTTCACTTCAAGAAATTAAAGGCTGGCCCCAAAGTGTGAAGTATGGAGTCTCCCACAAGAAAGGCATTGATGGTTTAAAAATAAAGCTGTGTTAAGAAAATCTTGTTGATTATTTGATCAAACTTGCTTCCTAAGGAGCGTGATGAGAAGATTGAGAAGCTCCAAGTTGCTCTGCAGGAGGCAAACCAAAAGTTGGAGAGCCTGAATACTAAGGAGAAGGACTCTGGGCAAGGCTTGCGTCGATCAAAGCGAGTGGCTACCTCATGTGCTCTGCAGCAGGAGCTGGCAGATACTAAAGCCAAGCTGGAGCAGTGTCAAATGGAGTTAAATTCTGCAACAGCAGGTAAGGCAGTGATGCTGCCCTGGCTCTGAATTATGCCTAAGCAATCCTTGCAGAGGGTTAGAGATACTCTCTTCAGTTGGGTACAATGGATTCAGACATTCTCTGAGTTGTAGATGGTGGGAATCATGTGCTGGATGGACAGGGTTTCACTTAATTTTCACATGAAAATGGACTTCAGGGCAGGATCATCACCGTGTTCAAATTCTAAAGTCCCTTTGTGTAACTGAAAGGGAGAAGCTTTGTGCACATCTGCACAAACTCAAAGCTTTTCTCAGCTGTTTGTGACAAGCTTCTCTCAAGGGAAGTCCTTGAGGAAAGCTGCAAGATGATGAACCTGTTGTTGCTCACTATTTCTTGTCTGTTCCCAGAGATGCGCAAGTACCAGAAATTACTGGAGCCGCCTCCCTCTGCCAGACCCATCACTGCGGATGTGGACAGGAAGCTGGAGGATGGACAGAAGGTAACTCCATCTCAGTGTCACAGAAAGGAACACTTGCAAGGCACAGAAGTTGCCAGTTTGAACAGCATTTGGAGCTGCTGTCTCTGGGTTTTTAAACAAATAGTTCCAGTTGAAATCAGTCTGTTGAAAACAGAGGTGTGGGAGGTGTTGGTATCAGTGACCCCAGAGCACCTCATGCAAAGGGGATCCTCCCTCAGTGCTGCATGTCTGCACTGCCCTGGAGGGGCTTTGTTTGCAGAGCAATGTCAGGGCAAGCTGCTGCATTAAATGTCTCTCTCCTGTAGAATGTCAGATTGCTGCGTTCAGAGTTACAAAAGCTTGGGGAGTCTCTTCAGTCCGCAGAGAGGGCGTGTTGCCACAGCACAAGTGCAGGGAGACTTCGAGAAGCCCTCTCCACATGCGATGACATTCTGGCTAGACAGGTAACGTGTCTGTTGTGGGTTGCACGGGGGGATTTAGGGCATGCACTTGGCCATAATCAGCAGAATAACCTAGGTTCTTGCAGCTGCAAATAACTTATTCTCTAGACACATGCTGTGTTACATTAAGGGAGCTATACATTGCTAATTTTTTCAATGGCTGAGTCAGGCTGCCTATTTAACTCCTTGAAGGAGGCTCAAATTGTTCCTGCTCAGTTAATGGACAGTCTGCACTTAAAGTAGGATAATTCAGAGTTCTCATTTTCTTACCCACTTCACTCTTATCACAGTTTCTATGGCAGCAAGTTTGTAGCAGGATGCGTCCAGCTTTTTCCTAGTCTTACTGTTCCTACTTTGTTATTGAACTGGTGACAGTAGAAGCTTTTATGCCTGGCTATGTTTAGCACACTGGTTAGTGGATTTTGGCAAAAGCAGTTTATCCTTTTTAGTTCATAGTAACTTGTCAATCTCTAAAAATCCACTGCCTTCCCCTTCCCTTTCTCAGGACCAAACACTGGCAGAACTGCAGAACAACATGATGCTGGTGAAACTAGACCTGCGGAAGAAAGCAGCTTGCATTGCTGAACAGTACCACACTGTGCAGAAGCTCCAGGCTCCCCCAGCATCTACCTTAAAGAAACGGTTCTGTGCCAACAGGGAAAACCTACAACCTAATCAGCCTCCTGGTAAAAAGCCTTTCCTACACAACCTCCTGTCACGTTCAGCTCCCCGTCCTGTGGCTGGCAGAGGGTGGAATCTTCGTTCAGCTGCTCTATGACTTTTCACAAAGAGATCCCTGCCCCGCTATTACTGGAACAGGTGGCAAATCCAATATAATAGTATCTGTTATTCTTTGTGCGCTTGTTTATTGTTACTGTAGCTGCTTGAGAGCTTATGTAAACATTTTTGGATATGTTATGTTTAAACTTTTAATTGATACCAAAGTGGACAAAGTGACCTTTAAACACTACAACAAGGAAAGTCTTTGAATATAAAATAATGCAGATGAATCAAAAGAACAACTTTGAAGTGAGTTCTCATCTTCAAATATGCTGGCACATAATTAAAAAATAAGTTCACAAGATCCTCCTTGAAAGATATTTTCCCTTCCTTGAATTATAATCCTTTATTAAAGTACACACGTTCTAGTTCAGGGCTGTTCTCTCGGATCTTGGCTTGCAATTCTGGCTCCAAGCGTGTTACAGACATAGAACTAAGCAAAAGAAACAGTAAAATGGTTATATATAACAAGCACTTGAATGTACAATAAGATGGATGGTGCATCTGGTTAAACTACCTGGTTTGTGAAAAGAGTTTTCAGCTCTTTTTTTAAACTTCTTAGGAATAAATCACAGACCAGGGGCAAATGAATCCCTGCTTAAAAGGCAATCAGGCTATGGAGTCAAGAAATGGCTGTGACTAAGGGAAGGAATAAGGGTAGGAATCTACTTAGTTGCTTGAGGTTGTTTCTGGCAATAGAAACTTACCTTCCTAAAGGTGTTTTTATTAAATGTAACATATTTGCCTATTTAACTTACTTATTTTATTCAGTTGAATAAAAAGTTTACTTTTAGAAGTCATTTCACAGTAAAGTGAAATAAGCTGCAAGGTCATTTAAACAGCTGCAGTTTCTTAAAACAGTTTAAGGTCTAATCTTCCTATGAAACAGGAGAGTCCTGGTTAAAATCCAGTGCTGTACCACACTTGCTGAGCTTGTTTCTCAAGTCCTGTCCAAGTGGCCTCATAATGCTTTTATAACCATAATTCTCTCTTCTATGCCAGGGAAGGGAAAAGGCAGGGAAACAGTGTCAGACTGCTTTGTTGTACTCAAACAATGGGATTGGATGAGAATAAGGCTTTGTTTTCTGGAAGTCAAAAGCTACTTTAATTGCTCAATATTTTAACAGATTCAGCTCTAGCTTGTATTGTTTAAGCTACATTTGGCAGCTGGTTCAGATACCACTTATATTAGGAGAGGGACAGCTTAGTTGAATTTAAGACCCTCTTCAGACTGCAAACTGAGCTAACTTCAGTTGTAGATAACCTACCCAGGCTATAATGAATGTTGTTTCTAAGGCAATTTTCAGTACTGAGCTATTTGTGTATCAGTGAAAAATTATTTCTGGAAAAAACCCATAAAATTACAAATTAGCATCTATAGTCAAGTGCTGTTCTGTATAACCAGAGGAGTTTCCAGCTGAAAATAAAATGGGCTTTAACTGTATTTCATGAAGCCATAACCTTCCTGGACATGAATATATTGGTTGGACCATGCTAGCCTTTTTTTAAATGAATCATTCCAGTGATTCTTAACTCCATATTATCAAGCTCACACTTTTTAGCCTGAAACAGCATGGTAAAACTACTCACCCAAACCTCTTGTTCACTGTTCCTATGTTTGCATCTTAAGCTGCTAGGAATTTGTAAACAAATGAGCCTAATTCAACTATTATATATTACTGATGAGTTACATTGTGAATATTCTCATGTTTATCAGACTTGTTATATAGTAACTAAGACTGTATCCTCTAGGAGGCAATGACCACTTGTTTCTTTCTGCAGTACCTTGCATGCATCTGGGAGTGTAATATTAAAGTAAGAAAAATGTAACCGGAGTACATACCTTTTTTGAGGAAACAGTGCACAACACAGGGGTGTTGCAAATATAAGACTAGAGGAGACAAAAACAGGTTTTACAGTCTTTAAGGTGCTAAAACAGAACTCAAAACCTTTAGGCACAGTCTAATAGGCAGAAAGCTTTTTTGTGTGTGTATGTACAGTGAGGTAAAGTTCCATGAAGTGCTATGTAACCTTTATTTCTCACTGCATTACCTTCTGAAATATTTACCTACTATGTAGTACTAAATGCATCAATATCACATTTACAAATGTGCATAAAATTACCATTTGATGTCTGTTGAGTGTTTTTCATTGGTGTGCATGACAACATAAAATGCTAGACAGCAGCAAATTAAACTCCATTAACCAAATGTCTGAGGAATTAATCAACCTGCAGGATTAATTTATTACTGTTTGTGGAGGTAGCAGCCAAAGCACATTTTCTAATCAAGATGCTTCATGCCTTTTGTTGCCACTCCCTTTCTCCTGCCCTCTGCTTTTCTTGGCAGCTTCTTCATTACTAATGGCTTTTTAAAAATGTTATCAGTTATAGATATGGAGTGAAGTAACTGCTGTAGCCTCTAGCTCAGATTTTTTCTTTAAACAAAATACAAATATTGCTACTTCCTCTAAAAAACCTACAAGTACCTCTTAAAACAGCAGCCAGAACCCAAAGAAACCACTTACCAGAATCCAACTAACCCAACTTGAATGGGGGCACTCATCCAAGGAAATCTCTGTTTGAAAAAAAAAAAGCACACAGTGAGTACACTATATTTTCTCCCCCCCTTCCCAATTTTCTGGAATTCTTGTAAGAGACAGATTGTACCTAAAAGATTCTTGGATGTGATGAAGGCAAAAATTACCAGCATACCTTAAAGCTAAACTCCAGCTTGAGACCTTAATCCCATTGGAAAGTAGTAAGAAAATTCCCAGTGATACCAACATACACTTACCCTGAGTGTCTCCTAGAAACTCCCCTAGGTGTCTGTTTTAATCACAACCCCATCCTGAGTAGGTGGGCCTTCCTTTGAGTCACACAAGCTCACAATCCCTACCATCACACCCAAAGTTTGGAGCAGTGCTGCAGGTACAAGGTGCTGCCACACCTCCAAAGGACACAGGGAATTCTGCTCTGGCTTCCCTGAGAAGAGCTGGGTTTGGTTTCAGCTCCCACCTCTTCAGTGGCATCAAATGTTTTACCTTACAACTGGAGATTTACTTGGAGAGCAAAAGCAACTACAGCCACCAACCATAAAGGCTGTGTCAAGGAAAAATGCAAGTCTGCTTCTCTTGGCCCTTTCTCTCTCATCTTATGATTTGCTTTGATGTGTAGGAACTTGCCCTTGTAGCACAGTCTGGTACACTCCAGTTGTGCCAGAGTTCAACTTGTGTTGAAGGAAGAAAGGGTAGAAAAATTGGGGAAACAAGGCTGTGAAGGCAACACATTAACCTATGGTTGCATTTTCACCACATTCCTCATTCTTATAACTTTAGCAGAACTCAGACATATGCCAAGAAATGTGACAGTTTTCTTAAATTATTTAGGAATCCACTTGCTCCATGTTAGGATTTTAGTTTAGATTAATTACTAAGGAAATAAAATCAGTCCTGTTAAAAGGTCTCTGCTGCAATGGGCTGGTGCTACAAAACAATCAGGGTCTCCAGTAAGAAGGACACACACAACTGCTATGGTAAGAGGAAGGTGATTTTAAAACAGCTGAATTAAAAACAACATGTTACAGTGGATGATAATTTCAACAAAGATGACCTTTTTTTTTTTTTTTCTGCAAGAAGCATTTCTCAATATACAGGAGTTAGAGGAGAAACAAGAAAAAAAAAAAAGGGCACTATTTGAGAGAAGAAGGAGAAAAAAATTTAGAAAAGATCAACAGGACAAGGCTTGGTGCTAAGAGAGGTCACAGCAGTGCAAGAGGCACAGAAAACAAGCCTGTGTGGATTAAACTTTCTCCAGAGCCTGAGGGAGAAGAAATGATGGAGAAGATTGCTTCTTTTTTTCATTTTTCTTTTCTTTTTTTTTTTTCTCTCTGGAGTCAAATCTGTAATCCAGAAATGAGTGCAGAAGAACTGTGCAACTCAGCCATAACCTGCAACAACAGATAACAAACGGAAAAAGACAGGAATAGCAAGAAGGACAAGGAGTGAATCCAGCAGTGCTCCCTGTTCTGATTCCACTAAACACACCTTCGTTTGACTCAGCTGACATTAATCCACTCAAAATGCTTTACATTTAATACACTGGGAGAGTTCACAACAAGAGACTGAGACTGGAAGGGGTGTAGGACTGTGGTGTTGGTAAATTTTGTACACGTTTAAGAACACAAGTCAAACTGCTGCCAATGACATCAGTCCTTGAGGAGAATCAAAGGAGAGGGATGCTACACATGGCAGCGTGAGTGTGGGGCCTGAGATACACAACAGAAATGCCCCAAATATTATTTTAGAACTGCAAAGATTGTTAGAGGGCCTCAAGCTGCACCAGGAGAGGTTTAGACTGGATATTAGGAAGAACTTTTTAACTGAAAAGGTTGTCAGACATTGGAACAGGCTGCCCAGGGAGCTGGTTGAGTCACCATCCCCGGATGTGTTTAAAAGTTGTCTAGATGTGGTGTTTAGGAATATGGCTGGGCTTGGGAGAGTAGGATAAATGGTTGGATTTGATGGTCTTAAAGGTCTTTTCCAACCTAAGTGATTATATGATTCAAGGGTGTCATGAGAGTAATAGGTGTTTTCATGCCTTTATCAGAGTTGGTCATTGATCTGAGAGAGGTGTCTGTTTGTACAGACAATATAAACAACATCTGTTTCATGTAATGGAACATTTTTTTGCCAAGGCACTTGATCTGAGTTACAGCCTTTATCTTTTAGGAGTGTTACCAGGCTGCACTAATCAAGAAAGATGTGAGGTAGAACTCTAACCCAGGGAGGTCAATATTAAGAATTAGAGTTGCCCAGGGAACAATATAAAACAATAAAGCAAAACATCCTAACAAAGAGATAAAATGGAGAAGCATGAGACAGCAGAGGAATTTACTGTGATACAGAACTACCATTTGACTGGAAAAAAACAGGTCCCAATGAATTAGGATTTCATTTCCAGATGTCTTTATGGCATCTTTAGTGGTCTAGTGCACACAGAGAAAATGGAGACATGATAATTAAGCAAACAAAAGCCATAAGGAGAATCAGCTTTTTTATAACTGCTTCCTTTCACTGTTGGATCTCAAAATCTGTCAGCTCTCCCAGGCTAGCTGTGCCTTTTTAAAAAACAACAAAAGAATAAGTAAAATGACAGTTACATCAGGAATGCATGGAGAACTGTGAGGCATAAGACTGTTCTAGCTTTGTAACAATTTGGGACACATTTTAGAGGCAGACTAAGAGACCCCAAGAAACATGTTTTAAGGATGTATGAGGAAATTTCTGGAATCAGCTTGAAAGTTAACACAGTTTGCAGAACAGCAGAGAAACAGCAGCTGAAGCTGGAAGAGCACAAATATAAAATTGGAACTTCA